TAGAATGGGCCGTTCTGCTTTTAGAACGGGTCATTCTGAATTTAGAACGGCCCGTTCAGAACGTCATGCTTTTTATTATTTTTTTATTATATCTATATTAATAAATATATAATAAATATAAAATACAATAAATTAATATTCATTTATGAATAAAACTAAAAAAAAATCAAATAAGATAAGACCTTCCAAAATATTTCTTTGATTTGAATTTATCCAGCTCAAAATCTTGACTAAAATGCCGCAATGTATTTCAAAAATTGAAAATAAAATTCAGGGTTTAGGGGTACCTCCTCAAGAACAGGTTGTTATTGTTGGAGTACATCGTCAATGACTTTAAGGAAAAACACTATTTCGTTTTATCTTTGACTGTATAATGTCAATTTGGTAGGAAGTGGTTCACTCCAGTTTGACTAACAATGAAATAAAACTTGTTAACATTGTCCTTAGTGATACACTGCATCATCCTTAATGATATACTGTATAGCCAAAATGTTTAGCGATTGAAGTTATTAATCCTCATTAACAATATTACTATAAAAAAAAATGCTTTGTATTTTGGTTTTTTTTGCACGAAATTCTGGACCAGAACGGCCCGTTCTGGGTATACTGTTGATGTGTCAATTTTGGATCTGGAACGGCCCGTTCCAGGTGCAAATTTTGCACACCAAAAATGTAACCAGAACGGGCCGTTCTGGTTTCAGAACTGGCCGTTCTGGTTCCAGGTGTATTTCAGTATTTTTGGATCCACCTACGTGGCATCTACGTGGCATCCACTTGACATCCACGTAACCACCAGTTAACTCCGTTTAAATCATTTAGACGGAGGTCCCAAATTGGAACGATTTAAAATAAATAATAATAATAATAAAAAAATAAGGTATTACAATTAAGCTTTTAAAATAAAAGAATATAAATAAGAAACATGAGAACTTGAAGCTATATATAAAGTAACTTATATATATATATATATATATGGATGCGGCAATTATGGAAAATTGGAAATTGGACATGGATTTTGCTTGATTTTACGATGAACAAATATGCTTGAGATTCATGGATCAAATCCTCTTGACTCATTAGGAGTTTGGATTCATGGAAATATACTTAAAAACAAAAGTTACTTCTTCGATTTAAATTTTTTTATTCTTTTAATAAACATTCGATGGAAACTATTTATTAAACAGGGGCATACTTTTATTAAAAATATCAGTTAGTCTTTGAAATTCTAAAATGTCAATTATTTTTCAAATGATTAAAAAGAAATAAAAATTTTGAACAGCAAGAGCAGATTTTGACTTTGAAGCTTGGCCGAATATTTGCTGAGAAAATGATATTCATATATTGATGTGTACCTTATAAATATTTTAATTTTGTTATACTTTAATTTGATTTTGATATATGTGCTTGTACAACTTAAAAATTCATTTATGTATTTTTATTTATGTACGCAGAAAGCTCTAGAGAAAAATGACGCCGGAGATCATTTCCCAACATTTGCCATCAACTTAGGTGGAAACCTCGTAATAAAGATCGTAAGCGAGGTAAGTTATCTTCATTATTATTCATGATTTTGAAAATTCACTCTTCTAAATTAAAATGTTAAAAATATAGGGATCCATGAGTTAGAGAAGCTTTGCTATTAATTAGGGTAATTTTATTAAGTTCATCTTTTAAACCATTCATAAAAGAATGACTTTTGAAGAAATTAAAACATGGATTTTCTTTTACTAATTTTTAAAAATAACAAACATGTTTTTTTTTTGGTGTACTATACTTTTCTGATGTATTGTATTTAATGATGTTTTTACTTTTCATTGGAAACAGCTAACTGATATTCTTGAAACATTTAATGCATCGAGTTTGCCAAGTTCTCTTCAATTGGGGGTGAATGCAAATGCTGAAGGAAGTCTATTTGAAAGGTAAGTAATATAAGCATTAAACACTTATTTTCATTTAAAAAAGATTTCAAATACTATTTTATATTAGATTTAGGATATTTGGGCACCTAAAGTTTCAATCATCCCTGCAATAAATTCCTTGATCTGTTTGATGAAAATTAACATTTTTTTTTTATATCTTTAATAGGTTTCCTCCAGATTTGTTGACACAGTTGGAGACAAATTGTCTTGTCCTGCACAATCATCGTGTGAGTTTTGTATAATCAATGACTTATTATTATTATTATTATTATTATTATTATTATTAGTGATGTAATTTTAATCTGTTTTTGACATGACAGTATGCCATATCCCCAAGTAAGCTTCAAAACAATGCAAACTTAGCAAGCTTTTTTGAGATTTTGACAACATCTAAGGATAAAGATGATAAGGTATTAACTAATCAAAATTAATGTTGTTGTCCTCTCTTCATAATTAAACCTAATGCATATTCTAACTTGTCATTATCTTTTAGTGAAGATCGATATATCTAACATTATGATTACTATTTTAGACTTTCGTTTCCACAGCACGTGGTAAGAAATATCCTGTCACTGTCTCCCTATGGCATCCAGAGGTAATTCATAAATTTTCTTTTAATGTCAAACACCATTAATTTTTCTATTATGTAGTTAATTGTCATTAATTTATTATTTTAGTTGTATTGGACCTTGGTTAATTTTACAAATAATGGGACAGAAAAATGCCTTTGAATGGGCCACATCTCTAAAAGCCCCTCACACAGAGGACGCTGTTAGGGTTACTCAGTCCACTGCAAACTTTTTTGTGAGGTTAGAACTCAGACTTTAATTTCTTCATCTATTTTATTATTCTCACACAGTATATAAGTGATCAATTCAGGGGGTGAAAATTGTAATTATGTAATACCTATTTCCACCCTCTAAAATCAGTAAAATGAATACCATCATAATTCTTAAAGACAATTTTGATTCACTCCAACAAGGAAGTTTAATGATAAACATAACATATTATGTTACTATATGATTTTTTTGGTAGTGGTTTGTGTTATCACATGTACTTGTGAATGGTTAACGTATTTTGACCTTGATGAATTTGGGTGCAGGGAAGCTAGGAAATCCTCAAACACACCAGATGCTCAAGAAGTGCGAGATAATCTCATTTACAATTTCAAACCTACTTATGGTGGAACGGCTGGGTAAGTCCCAGTGTCTAATTTGTGACAATGATATTAATCAAATGCACTGTGAGTTCGTTTCTGACAGTTTTTTGCAACTTGCAGGAAAGGATATGATGAAGTTTACCTCTTTGAATAATTCTAAATGTAGGAGGTGTCCTTGAATGTAATGTTGTGCACCATAAATTATGGACGATGATGTATGTTTGAGCAAATAAAAGTTTGTGCACAATGGTTCTTGTAAGATGCTTAATATCATGGCAGTGCTCTGCTTATCGATGTGATATATCCTGTTATTGCCCAAACTTTAGTATATTTTCTATTTGCTGTGATTTTATTAAGAAAAATACGTAACATATCTTTTAATACACTTTTTTAGTTATTGACTAATGAATGTCATTCTTAACTTAGTAGTTTCCAATGAAAATTATGAATAATGAAGAGTGTGTCAGAAAAAAATGCATTAGAAGTTGTGATGCTAATGTTTCTCGTTTAAATAATAATTAACATGGCTAGCAAACAAAGTGAATGATGCAAATTCTGAACTATAGGAGTAACGTTTCAAGTATCTTGTAAAAAAATGTCAATGAAGTTGAGTTTAATGAAGGAGTTGAGTTGTATTGAAAAAAAATCAAGTTTCACATAAACTAAAAATTAGATAATTAAATAATATATAATTAAAAAATAATATTTAAACTGATTTTATAAAATTGAATTAAGTTAAAATTTATTATTCTAATTTATAAAAATACAAATGGGAGTTGATAGATACCCGTATTCAATAATTGTCATTCACATCATTTGTATATGATTCAAATAAAATTACTTTAAACAAAAACACATGAAAAAAGAAAAACTTACAAAAAAAAAAAACAAAATCCTATAAAAAATGTGATTATTGTAAAACTATTAGACATTAAAAAAAATTTTACAACTTCAACAATTATAATCTATATTTTATATTTGAATATTAAAAAATTAAAGTATTTTTTGTAATTTATATTATTTAAAATTAATTTATCCATTAATTTAACATATGTTTTTAAATATTTTAATAATATTATACTTTATTTATTATATATTTAGAAAATATTTTTATAAATTAAAAAATGAAAAATAAAAGAGATAAATTAAGAAGTGGCATTTTCATGTTTAAAACTAAAAAGTGGGGCAATGTGATAAAAGATTCAAGAAAAACAATATTAATAATTAAGAAAAAAAAGTATTGATAATTTATTATTTAGAAGTAATTTGTTTTGAATTCCCATTTTTTTTAATAGGCCCATAACTTTAGAACTTTTGAATTTTCATGTGGAAGATATCTAAACAAATGAAGATAAAAATTGATGGTATATATCAACAATTTTGATTGCCATATTCCTCGAAACCCCTCAAAGGGTTTTAGAAATCTTAATTAAAAAAAAATATATATATACATAAAAAAATAATAAATTTGTCTTAGAAATGATAATGAGTTACGCGTGTGGCAATGGTATTGGTACCCTTTCTCGTTGTCAATAGGTCGAACGAAACGAAGTGGACCCCACTCGTCCTTTTCAGCACTTTCATTATGATCCACATTTTCATTCGCTCCAACATCACTTCTCCAACATGTCAAGCGACGCCGTTTGGTTCCTTCTCCTCCTCGCTCTCTCCAAGTATCTTCCTCCGGCCAGGGCCAACTCGCTCATCCTCTACCCGGGTCAACTCGCACGTGACTCGCCCGCCAGTTGCCCTGCTCCCGACCCCAACCTCTACTACCAGCCGGTCATCGGAATCGTCAGCCACCCCGGCGACGGCGCCTCCGGCCGCCTCAGCAACGCCACCGGCGCCTCCTACATCGCCGCCTCCTACGTCAAGCTGGTGGAGGCCGCCGGCGCCCGAGTTGTTCCCCTCATCTATAACGAGCCGCCGGAGACGCTTCTCAAGGTTTCAACCTTTACTCCTCACTCACTGTTACTGTTGCTGCTTTTAAAATTAAACCTAATCAAACAAAGTATAAATAAATAAGAGTAAATAGGGAATATGCTCATGGTGTAAAGAGATTCTACAAGTTTTAGCTGCTTTAATTATTTTTTTCTTTTAATTTTTATAATTAAAAAAAATTCATTGTAATCTTTTAAATATATATATTTTTTACAATTCTTATAATAGCATAAACTTTTCTTTTTAAGTTACATGAGCCTTTTGTACTTCCTATAAAAATAGATACCAAAGACTAAAAGTATATATAAAAAATAAAATTGAATGTTTTACCGGCAATAAAATAAAATTTATAAAATTATATAGAGAAAAAAGTATAATTAAACCTTTTTATCCTTAAAAAAATTATCATGAATAAATTTGTTATGCTTTTATAATAATCAGCTTGAAAGTTCTACCAACTATGCATGCTTTTGACACAATATATATACATATGTGGTACATTAATGAAAAAGAAAATACAAAAGGTCTAGTTAAAAGCTAATAAAACATCCCTGTAACAAATGTCCAACAAAAAATTGATTAATTAGTTTTTTTTTTGTTATAATCAACTAGTTTTTTTTATAAAAGATTTTAAAGAATCTAATAGAAGAGAAGTTCAACAAGTTTTAGTCTATGGAGAAATTTACTTTTTTTTTTTTTCCTATTTGTATATGATAGATACAAGCTTAAAAGAGTTTCCTATAGATTGTTTTTATATGTTTATTTTTAAAAGAGAAATTCTCAAAGTTCTCTTATATTTAAATAGGCTCTTACACAATTACACTCTCCTTCAATCACAGTTAGTTTTTTTTTATTTAAATTTTTTATTATCTTTTATAATCATCATCTTAAATTATAGTAACAATAATTTCTGATTGATTGATGGTATAAAATGGGGAAGAAAGAAAAGTATTGTATTCGTAACATTACCCTACTTTTCTTCACATATGATATAGAAATATTTATGATGATATTGACTACGGTTTGCACTCATTGCAGAAGCTCGAGTTGGTAAATGGGGTTCTCTTCACTGGTGGATGGGCTAAAACTGGTTATTATTTTCAAACTGTTACCAAAATATTTAAGGTATCTGTTTATCTTTTTCTAATGCTCACTTAACGAGTGATATGGATGCAGATGTTAGAGTGACTTGTTTTTCAAGTAACCAAAATACATTTGTTAGAAATTCTCTTTGCATCTGAGTAAAATATAGGCTTCTAGAATTTGGAATGTGAATAATGGGTGTAGAATTATTAACGAGGATTGAGGAGAGGATAGCTAGTTTCTTTGATACTTGTTAGCCATTATTTTACTTGGACTTTTGTTTGATAAGTTTGTTTCCAAGATGTTAAGCAGTGATTTATTAAACATGTACTTTTACATTTTTAGAATTTTATGTATCAAGTTGTATTTGTCTGTGCAGAAAGTTTTAGAGAAAAATGACGCCGGAGATCATTTCCCATTATATGCCATCTGCTTAGGTTTTGAACTCATACTGAAGATTGTAAGCCAGGTAAGATTGCAGATAAATCAGTTATTTGTATATTAATTAGTATTTTAAGTTTTAGGCACCTTAGTATAGTTTTCTGATTAATTTTCTTCAAGTGAATTCAATTTTTATGTTACCTTATTATGTTGCCATTCAGAACATGTGATGGTAGAAAAATCAGTCATTTTACCAATTTGGAAAAAAAAAATTGTTGCAACCATGTTAAATAATATTCATGAAATGTTGATATGAGTTGAGGACTTTTGATAATCTACTCTAGTTCTTCTTCTTTTTTGTGCTTTTTCAAGTTTTACTTTTTTCTTTTTCTCCCTTGATAATAGGACAATAATATTCTTGAAGAGTTTAGTGCACCAAATCAGGCAAGTACTCTTCAATTTGTGGAGAATGCAAAAATCGAAGGAACCGTCTTTCAAAGGTGAACAATTTATTATGCTAATAGTAATTTTGTGAAGTTGCACTTTGATTCCCTAATGGACGTATAACGAAGTTGGAAACTGATCTATGAACTTAGGTCGCCTTTGGACATATTTTTTAAGCACCTATTCCCTTTAAAAGGGAAGTTGGACCAAACACAATTTTGTAAAATCTGTAAAAACTAAAACTGGCATTTTTTGTTAATTGATGAAAAGCCAAAAACAGATTGATTGGGTAATTTTATTTTATCGATGTTTTATTTGTATCACTGTTTTTTAATTTCCCAATTTTTGTTACAGAGGATTCCCTGTCCTTCAAATTTATTATACTTTTTTCTTTATCTTGATGAATTTATTCTTTTATATGAAAATAAAAATTGTTATTTCCATTGTTTTTTGTTATACCTCTTTTATTGAGGGCATGACTTTAATTTATTAGATAGAATTTCTTGTATTAACACATATCTAACATACAGCATTAAGACACAACCAGACATGATGTTATAACAAATGAAAAAGGAGTCCCTATAAAACACAAGATATTAGCCAAATATGTTTGATTTCAACTTAGTTGGCTTTGTTTATTTTAGTTAACTATCAAAGATGTGGGCTATCTGTCTCCAACTCATAAACTTATTGTTATTCTTTTACTTCGATAAAAGGGGTACCTGTGATAATGGAGGCAAGTTTAATGGTAAGCAGTTATTGTGAGTGAGAGTCTACTTGTTGCATTTTGACAGGAATTGAGTATTATGGGTTGCCTAAGTCCCACGTAAGTCCCACGTAAGTTGTAGTATGGGATGCTTGGTGGAGTGCTTAAGTGGCCTGGTTCTCCCCATTGATTGCTAGCTTTTAAGGGTGGGTTCCCCAAGTGCTTCGGAATTTATCACATTCCCTTCCTCGCAGATTTGCTCTGTGCCCTGTCAGATTCTTCCAATTCACTCACAGATTCCCAAGTGCAGTCAAATGCAAAGGCCATTATGATAAAGGCTGATACTAATGTAGCTAGAGATTTTATGTTATACAAATTCCAAGTCCATTTGCATTAGTGAAAAGCCCAATCAGTTCCTGTCTTATAAAGCATTACTGAATTCCTGATAGTATTTGGTCCTTTCTTTCTCTACCGATGAATCATGAGAAAATAGTGAAAAAGTGAATGGGTTGGCTTCCATTTAACACAAGGATGAAGTAAAATTTAGAAAAAAGAAAAAAAATGTCTTTGTTTATCAAATAAAAATGAAATTAGATGAAATATGGAGAAGACTAAGACAGAGTAGAGGTAGCAAGAGACAAAGGAAGAGAAGCCAGAACAACAAAAATAATGCCGATACATGAAATTCTCTCTTCCTGAAGATTTCCTCCATACTTGTTTAATCTCTGTCTATTCATGAGTTTTTTAATAATTTCTCTTCCTCTACAATGATGTTGGTTTATTAAGTATTAAATTTATACATTCCTTAACATTTTGTCTCCGGATTTGATATGCATTTATCATTTTCTCTTTCCTGCAGATTTCCTCCAGAGTTGTTAAAGAAGTTGAGTATAGAGTGTCTTGTCATGCAAAATCATCGTGTGAGTATATATAGTCAATACATTATTCTTCAGCATGAGGGTTTGCTAATTTTTACAATTTGACAACAATTTAATTGGACAAATTGCCTTCAATTAGGGTATTTGGCTGCTGCATGAATGTACCTTTAAATTGGTTCTATTTTATAGATTTATGACATTTTTTAAACAAGTCTATGATGGCACACCATACACTCCTGGTGCATCGTTGCACCACTAAGTATGAGCCATGGGATCAGTTAAATGGCCTGGTAGTGGTACTGGTATGTATGACAGTACTATCCCAAGCAAGCCCAACTATGGTTGGAGTTGTTAACTTCATAACTTGTTACCATGTGACCCCAAACATAGTAGGAGCTTTATAGCAATAGGCTCTAGGGATATTTACTGGCCAGGTGGACCTGACCAACCTGACCCTAGGAAAAATGAATGGGTTGATTTGGATTTTTGGGTAAAATTGGTTTGAAAATTTCTGAAAAATCTAATCAATTTGGTTTAGGAATCACTGTATTGGGTTTTATCATGCTTTAAAGTTTGAATTTAGAGTTTCTTTTTATTTTTTACCTTGACTCGACTATCTAACCCGATCCAACTTGTTCTTGGTTGCATTGGGTCAGTTTAGGTTGCAGACTCAAAATTAATTGGAATTGATTTAATCCAATCCATTTTGTTTTGATTGGTTAAGCCCCTTAACTTAACCTATCTCTACCAATCATGAACGGACTTACTAGACTCCACCTTGCCCCCCATTTAATTCAAAATGCTTAACCTGTCAACTTTGACAAACAAAAACAAAATGGTATGTGTTCCTTTGAAGGGTTCCTTACCACAGCATCTGTAGCATGTTTTTCATTGATGCAGAAAGCTTTGAAGTAGCATTTAAAAGTTATTGGATATTTGCTTATTAGGTAGAGGCTCCTGAAGATAGGACAATTCATTGCATGTCTGTCGCTTTTTCTAATTATCTGAATATTATTTATGTTTTCCAGATTTCATTGTTGACTCTTCCTAAATTCTTAAACATAAAATGCTGAAGGAAACTAGATCCTATTAATTAACCAAACTACAATCCAACCAACCCAGCAACTTCTAAGGCCGGGTCTGTTACTAAAAAGTCCCTTGCAAGCATAATCTAGAAAGCTCAAGAGAATTTAGGAGGGAGAGGTAGTTATGGGAGAGAGAGAATAGCAAATCCGAGGGGATTTGTCTGAATAGGAATTTTGTCAAAGGGAGAGGGCGTCAAAAGCCTTAAAATGTGTTTGGGGTCAAAGAATATTGCCTTGGCTCGGAAGTTTTGCTCTTACTATTTTTGTCTCACACTTTCTCAACAAAAATATAATCTCTCCCTTCTCATAATTTTTTGTGCATAATCTCTCTACAGATAGGAATTTTTGTCAAATGCAGTTTAATGAAGTTTATCAGTTATAGACGTTTGAAATTCGGTAATATAATGTTTATCTTATTTTGGACGTGATAGTATGGCATATCCCCCGGAAAGCTTCTTAATAACGAGAAGTTATCTAGCTTTTTCGAGATCTTGACAACTTGCACGGATGAATATGATAAGGTACTCAATGTTATATCTTAAAATGTGATATTGGTTTGGGATTCCGTCTTTTTTACGTATTCATAGCCTTTAATTGCTCTAATAGCATCAGTAATTGTTTTAGGTTTATGTTTCCACTGTACGTTCACGAAACTATCCCGTGACTGGCTTCCAGTGGCATCCAGAGGTGATTGATAAATTTTCTGGCTATGATCTGTTGCAGTATTGTGAATTTTAATTCCTAAATACTATGAAATACTCGTACTATTTCAGCTATGTAATGTTCTTTGTAAATAAATGATGTCACAGAAAAACGCCTTTGAATGGGGTCCACCAGCAATTCCACACACGGATGATGCCATTTTGATAACTCAGCTTGTTGCAAATTATTTGGTCAGGTTAGGACTCAATTAACAATCATTTGTTCAGGTTATAGCTGATAGATGATTCTCCGAAGCCATCAATCAGGCTACTGAAAAATTAGATGACAAAGTTATCCAGAGTAGTTGCTATTACAGTGAATGAAAAATGATGCAATTTTGTTTACTGCTTATACTGATATGAAAGTTGTCATGAGTACCCTTTATAGTCTCCTCTTACCCTACTTAACTGTGAATCCCAACTTAAGTTTGGAAAAACATCTTTAAGGCACTCTTGCTACCTATGAAATGATTGAGCTATGTTTTCTGTCTTTGCAAACTATAAAATGGCTAACATTTTTCCACTTTTTCATTCATTTGGTACCAGTGAAGCTAGGAAATCCTTGAACAGACCTGTTGTTCAAGAATTGCTAGACAATCTCATTTACAATTACAGTCCTACTTATTGTGGGAAAGCTGGGTAAGCCAACATTGATTATGACATTAATTTTTTTTTCATGTGAAGTTATTGATGTTGATGTTTATGCTTCTTGTAGGAGAGGATTTGATGAAGTTTATATATTTGCACCGGCCTAAATTCTGGAGAATTCAACCAATAATGGTATATAAGAAAAGAAAAAAAAAAAAGATAAAATGCATTGAGCTTTTCCACAAACTAAAATCAATTTATGCTCCTTAGTTTTTGGAGAAGTTAAATCAAAAAGCATTTATAAAAAATAAGTGTATTGATTATAGTTTACATAAGAAACTTAATTTATTTTGTCTTATTTCTTCTTTTATAAATGTTTATGCAACATAATAATTATGTTGTTTGCACAGTTGCACACGAGTAAATATCAATATTGTTATGCACACTAACAACATTTAGATGCCTTAACATTTTACCAAAAGTTATGCTCTCTTATGCATTGTATCATGTTATTACCTGGTTTTTGGCCTTTGCTTTTGGAAGTGTTGATGTGTATGCAGACGCACATAAGGATAACATGAAACATTGAATAAATATGATAGATAGTTTTCCTCGAGTACGTGATGATATTGACTTTAAGAACTTATTCATGTTTTATGTACAAGTTCCTCAATATATAATAGAGTTGTCTTAAATATGTTGAGAAACATAACTAGTAAGGAAATAATTTTGTCGCAAATCCAAAATAGAGGGGAGAAAATTGATGAGCTCATGTCAAATTCATAATCAATTAAAAAGTTAAGGGGAGAATTTGGCTAAACGTATCCAAATACGATCGATAGAGAATAATTGATTTGGATAAGATTAGACAAAAATTTGAAGATTCGGTTAACTCTTAAAATGAAACATAAAAATGGTTACATTCTGGATAAAGTTTGTTTCAATGAATTAAAATAATTTAATATAATTAAAAATAAAAATGTTTTTGAATACTACTTTTTGCATGTGCAGAGAGACAAATTGACAAATTTACACTGCAATAGGTTCATAGGCTCATTCTCATGCACACAAGTCCAACATTCACTATTTGTCTCTTTGAAAATATAAGAAACAATTTGATATATAAAAACTTAAGTCCTATATAGACAAAGGAATGTGGAGCTTCTTTTTAAATGGACACATGCAACAGCTAGAACTCCATTATAATTATTATTACTAGTTGTACATTTGCAAAATCAACGCATGACTTAAGATGACTTATAGAGAAAATATGGAAAACGTTTTATAGAATTACTTTTTGTTGAAGATGACTTGTAGTATGAAACTTTTAAGATTATCTTCAATGTGATGCCAAAAGAAAATAAAGCTTGTAGTTGAGAAGACTACGAAAAGTTGCATAGAATAATTTGACATATGAAAAGATTATCGGAATATAATTTTCCTTTTAAAGAAACATTTATTTAAAGACTAAAATAATGAAAGAAGAATTATTTGATACGAGTCATAAGACTAAAGTAATAAGAAGAACGAAAATTTAAAGAATTCTTATGGTTACTCATCAGTTGTAACATTTTTATTTTCAATATTAAAAGTCAATTAGGATAAAATTTTCTAGAAACATTTTTAAAAGAAATAAAATAAAATAAAAATTGAAATAATTTTTTATATTATTTAAAATTAGTTTATATACGAGTTAAAAGTAAAATTTGGAGAAATTAATAGAAGATAATATTTACAAATTAACTTATATAAAAATTAATTTTCATTTATTATAAAAATTTATTTTATTTTATTTTTCTATTTTTCTCCTCTATAAATACTTTTGGAAAAATTTATTCACACAAATTTATAGTAAATTTTTATTGGCTTTGTTTCCTTTTATCACCCAATACTCATTACTCAGTCACATGTAGCATTGGGTGGGTGGCGACATCTTTCTCTCTCTCTTTTTAAATTTTTTTTTTATAATAGGATAAAATTTTTCTAATACTTGAATGATACTTTTCTTTTAGATATTACACTTGAAAATATTTCTATGATATTTTTCATCCATCTTGCGTGTACCCTGTGGATCACATCACTCCCAATTTACTTATCATTTTCTACCATGGACCTAGGTCAATGTGTGACTTGTAATATCATATGTTCTACATTTTTTCTTCTTCTCTAAGGTAGTTTTATAATATCTCTTACTAAACATGCATATTATATATTGGTTTAAATATTTTTAATTTTTATAAAATAAATAAAATACTTTAAAAAAAATTACTTTTCATCCTTCTAATATTTGAAACTCTGTTTTTAGTCCTTGTGTGATCACTATAATTATATATGTATTTATTATAAGGTTAAGTAAATATGTTACCTTAAAAAAATTATAAATCTTTAAAATAAATGTTATTTCTCTACCTTACAATGATCATTACATTAGAGAACAATAAAAATGAATATATTTTAAAAGGATGAAAACCAAATAAAAATATTTTATAGAGACTAAAATTAAAATTTATTTAATTTATAAGGATCATAAAAAAAGTTTACAAATTTTAGAAGGTTGAAAAAAAATATATTACTAAAATTAAAACACATTCATTTTATAAAGATTGAAAACATATTTAAGTTTTATATATTTTATCTGCTACTCAGTCAAAATTTGTATGTATCCTACTCAATTAAACTTATGAGTTTTTTTTTACCGGTTTATAAGCTTCTTTGATATGAGGAGTTTATAACTTATTTCCATAAGCTAATTGAAGTAACTTATAACTTATAAAAAAAACTCTTTTTTATTTTTATCTCATTACTTGATGTAACGACCCGCCTGGCCGTCACATAGCAAAACACCACAGCACCATGCAGACAAGAGCGTGCATATATATAAGCAGCTAAAATATATACACAAGGTCTAGCCTAGGGCTTAAAAATCAGAGTACAAAATACAGCCCAATTGCTACACTAAGTAGCTAAAACAACAAAAAGCATAAACTCCATCTGCCAGCTACAGACCTGCCTCAAGACACCAACCTATCCCTGCTCTGCTCCCATACACAGTATGATCATTGCACTCCAAACCACATGGAAACAACAAAGGGTAAGTTAGTGAAAAGAATCAACATATAAAGATATATAAGTACAACAATTATAAACAATTACAGCTTATCAGCACATCATCTAGTTCAGCAATCATCAGCATATAACTCATCACATATACAGCTCACAGCATTCAACAAAAATAGCAGTAAACAAACAATGTGTCGCCACGCATATCAGCTCAATTTGGTCGCTTGTAAGCGGTATAGCTCGACCTTGCCCCTATACCGTGGTCGCTTTATAATCGGTATAGCTCGACCTTGCTCCTATACCGTGGTCGCTTTATACACGTGTACCTCGACCTTGCCCACACACGGGACCAACTAAGTACTTAGAGGAGAACAACACAGTGGCCACTCCAAGGGTCAGCTTCCCAGGGAGGGTTTTCAACAAATTGGGCTCTAAGAGCACCACAGCTACCTCAATCCACACAATGGGATGAGAAATTTCGAAAATATCTCCTCTAGTCTTAATGAACAGCTCAGCCTTACGACCTACAACAGCCCAGCCTTACGGCCTACAACAATTTATATCAGCATGCAGCACAACACAACAATATCAGCAATAACAGCATACAACACAGCTTAATAATATACAACATAGCTTAATAATATACAACACAACTTAATAATATACAGCACAACTTAAACAACTTACAGCACAACAATATTTTAATTCAGCATGAACATCTCACAGCACAAGTCATCATCAATCAGCTCAACAACATTCATCATCAATAGCTTAAATCAACATACAATTTAGTTCAGCTCAACAACAGAATTCAGCATTAGCATCATACAACACAGCTCAGCGTTACATCATTAACAGCATAAACAACATACAACACAGCTCAACTTTTCATCATACGACATTAACAACATTAATCAGCATAAACAACATTCGGCACAGCTCAGCTTAACAGCAATAACAGCTCAAACTTTAACAACAACATGATCAACAACTTTACAACATACAACATATTCAACACGACTCACCCATCTTGTTTACAACCCATCTATCATGCCAAATTACCCACCCAAACAACACCAATCAACCTACGCACCCAAGACAGCCTTCGACTTATCCAAATCACTCCTTATAAAATGACAACCTTTACATAAAACAGCATATCGGGATTTATACTACTCCTACCATGCTCATCCTTATCTCATATGAAAGATAAGAAGATTTCCTACAACTCTCATGAAGACACCAAGTCCTAATTCCTTCATCTACCTTGTTAAAAATTCTAAAAACCGCAACAGCTATAAGCAATGCTGACAGCTTGACCCATCTTCACTAAAACAGCCATATCTGGAGTTCTAGAACTCTTTTTTGGGTGATTCCAGCGCCATTGGAAATCTAAGATCCAATGCTAAAACTTTTATGAAGACTACAAAGTCAAATTCTGAAAGCACAAAAGCGCTCAGCGCCTCCAAAGCGCTCGGCGCTTTACCTCCAAGGATTCTCCCCTGGCTCTCTGCCTCCAAGGGGCGCAGCCCTTCAAAATGGCTCAGCCGTTTCAAAAGTGCTCAGCCCTTTAAAATGGCTAAGCCATTTGGTTCTAGAAACTCTCCCCTGTCACGCAGCCCCTAAAGGGCTCAGCCCTTCAAAATGGCTCAACCGTTTGTGACAGAAACACAGTCCCTACACCATTTTTGAACAACAACCTGCAAATAGAGAATTCCCAACACATGCAAACCATCCAAATAACCACATTTTCATCCAACAACATGAAAACCAAATCGTTTCCAACATGCAACCATAAATCACCAAAAACCCCAAATTTTTCATCAAATCCTGAAACCCCGAAAACGAAAATCTTTCAAACACAGCCATCGATTCCTCAAGAATCACACCATCCGTGAGTTTCTAACTCACTCAACAACAAGCACAAAATCCTAACTTTCCTTACCTCGGTGCGAAGATTCTGAACTCCGGGAAGAAGAAAGGAAGAAGGAGAAGAAGGAAATCCACACTCGGCTAGCTCCGCACAGCTTCACTCTAGAGGAAGGAGAAGAAGAACCTCCTAGGTGCTCACGGCTTCAGCTAAAGAGAAAGGAATTTGAGAGTGAAAAAAATTCAAAGTGAAAGGAGAAAGGAAAGTATGAGGTGAGTGATGAGAGGGAGAAAAGAGAGAAGAATGCTACGGGATCTCACACTTGAAATCTTTATTCTACCGTTTTTAATTTAAAAACTATTTTATCTACATTATATTCTCTCATATTATCAGATATATAAATATGTTATTTTATATTAATTAACTACTTTCGATTTATACATAATTTCATCAAATACTTTCAATTTAATCGATCAACTTATAAATTTTTAATTTTTCAACTCTTAAGTTATAGCTTATGAATTTTTAATCAAGTTATAAGTTAATTTTATCAAAAACATCTTAAAATATATGTTAAGGCAAAATAAGATATGGTAAGGCAAAAATGCCAATTCTATTAAGTTTAAAGGTAATTATAGAAAAAAGATTTCTAAAAAGTAAAATATATAAGTTAATTTAAGTTTTTTTTGCTAAACATCTAATTATTCTTTTAAAGTATTTGTTGAGAAATTTATTTAAATTAACTATATCATTTTGCAAAGAAAAAAAAATGCAATATAGTATTGTCTCTGTGAAATATTTCGTAACCACATTTAAAACCAATATAAAAAAAAAAGTAAGTGCTCAAAGAAAATCCTTAATACAACTTATAATTATTGGGAAATCCTTTGTATTTTCATCTTGTCTTCTTACACTAGTTATGTCTCTATTCCCTTGTATATTTTAATTGTTCAATGTAAGTTGTCCCAAACTTTCTTTCTTTAAAACCTTTCACAAAACCTCTTTAGCTATTTTATATGTTTTTTTAATAAATGAAAATTATTACATTTTTTTATTTAATATATAAAAAGAAAGTAAGTTAAAAGAAAAATATACTTTTTAATTAAAATATAAATAAATAGCTTGAGATTTGAAAACATAAATATAAAAATAACAATTAACTTTACATTGGATTATATAATTCAGATCGAATTGTTTAAATAAAACTTTAAATTTGAGTTTTGCGAATAAAAGTAATATAAAGATCTTATTAAAAGTGAAGAAAAAAAAAACCATCTACGAAATTAGAAAATTGTAAAAAATAATGTAAAGAGAAAAATATATAAAAAATAAATACGATCAATATTAAAATTGTAACCTGCACAGCACGAATATGTTTGAAGCATAATTATTTATCCATCTTGCACGAATCAAATAAACTTAACTAACAAAAAGACATAACAAAGTCCAATTAAAATTTAGTATAAAAATAAGTCCACCTAAAATAAAAATAAAAATTCAAACAAACAAAAGGAAAATAAACTCATCATAAGCCTTAAAGCCCTAAACTTATGGTGTTTAAATTGAAGACAGAAAGAAATGGAGATAAAAAAAAAAAATAAAGAAAAAAGAGGAAAATTGATATATGTGACAAATAATATGATAGAAATAAAGAGAGAGATTAATTAGAATTCGACTGAACTGTAAAGAAGTGACATGTATAATGTATGAATATTATGGAAAATATTTTGGTATACCTCTAAGAAGACTTAAAAATATGTATGGAGATAATTTAATTCCCATTTTTTATTAAATAAAATTTTTAATTTCTTTTTTTCATCTTCTTCCATTAAATTTCTTCTTTTTCTTAATAACTAAAAAGACTCTAAGAGTAAATATAAATCTAGAACCAAGTTTATTCTCACTCAAGTCTAAGGATGATAATAGAGCAAGGTGGTGGATATGGGTTTTACTATCTCTGTTCTTGTTCCTCTTTCCTATACTTGTTCCTTCCTTATACTTTATGAATATGAAATTAGTGCTTTTATTCTTATCTTTATTAGGTATTGTATATACTTGTATTCATCTCATACTTGCCTAAAAATTAGTTAAATATATTTTTTTTAAAATATAAAAACAAAAATTTTAATGTAAAGTAGCAATTACAAAACTATGTTAGTTAAATTTTATTTAACATAAATTTAAAATAGAGTAAGAATTACATTAATGTCAAGTAAATTTTTTTAAAAATAAATTAAGTTCTAAAATTTAAAAATGCATAAGTATATACACAATCATGTTCTTATACTCAATTTAATAAATTGAATATTATTCATACTTAGTCAAATTGACTATTTTCCATCAAAGTTGAGACAAATTTAGATATTATACGAATTTATTTGTCATTCATACTCAAATGTAACTTAATTTTTTAAACATTTTTTCTTAAAGTGCAAACCCGATATACATAAAAATATGTAAATATAAGGTGTAAAACTTATAATAAGGTGCATTTTATAATATATATTTTAAGATAAATAATTTTATTATAAATATAATATTATATATTATAAAATATATCATAATTAAATAAATTTTTAACATTAATCAATAAAATTTAAATTTTTTAAAGATAATATTATATTTTAAATTGAATTGAAATTCAAAATTCAAATCCGTTGAAATCAATTTCAATTGGGCTGAATCATGCATGATGATCCTAAAGATAACTATAATCTGTAATATATGTCAGCTAATGAATGGGTTTGGTGAAATACCCAATGTGTTGGCGGGAAAATAAAGGTTCACGAAATTAGAAGAAAAACCCCTAACTCCTCTCTTCTCTCATGTTCCAAATCCAATGGCGCACACGCAAACCCTACCATTCATTCACCAGATCGAATCTCTCGTCTCCGATAAACTTCAAGTGGTATCTCTCTCTCTCTCTCTCTCCCTACCCTTTAATTTCCGACCCTTTTTTTTTTTTGGTCAAATTTCCCCAAATTCCTTTCATTTCACGACAACTAATTAATCTCGTTTCCTCTTTCAGGTTTCGTACAAGTGGCTGAGTCGCAATTACATGGTACCGTCCGATGAGGCAAAAAGGTAGGGTTTTGTTTGACAAAACTAAATTGGGTCAAAAGCTTTACTCGTAGAATTGTTGTTTAAAATGTTTATTTTTTTATTTTTTTATTTTTTTATTTTACGGTTTTATGAATGGTTGCAAATTTTGTTACGTGTATAGGTTGCTTCAGGAGTTTGTGGAAAAACACGAGGGTGGGTTGGAGGTGGTGTATGCTTTGTCTGGCTGGTTAAAGAGCAACCATCCTAGTTACCACGTAAGGCTTGTTACCGGGCCGAAGCTTGCAGGTATGAAGGCCTTTTGTAAAATAATAATAGTAATAATAAGAATGGGGTTCTCTAGAGTATTTTACTAACTGTTACTTTGTCTACATACATGAAGTGTGAGAATATGAGAAGGTGAAAAATGTACTTTAACTTTGCCATAGTGGAAAAACGTTTTTATGCTGCTGAATCCTTGCCTTGTTTGGTGTGGTAGTATTCTCTGGTCTCCACCTAGTGGGAAGGGGCTTCTTGTTGGTGTCAGATCGAAGATCCTAAGTCAGTGGGGGCAATTTCTTTTTAAAAAATAAAAATTAATAATAATTATTATTATTATCATATATACAAATAGCAAGACATAAATGTTGAAAATGGTCACCAATGAGTTCAATATATAAAATTATGGATGCAAAATACAAGATCTTTACACATATACTAATAATTTAATTAAAGTGAGTGGATGCATTGTCCATCCTCAAACATAGTGTGGATTTGCCACTAGTTGTTGTATATGATAGTGTTCTCTTTTTTTATATTTTAAAATACTAATTATGTAAACCTAGTGGGTTTAAAATACTAATTATGTAAACCTAGTGGGTTGGGTTTAGTAGAAGGGGCTAATCTCTCAAAATATGGTACCTAGGTTTTAATTTTCACTTAGAGTGGGCATTAATGTTTGACTGTGTCTCGAACAAGATTGTCTTCAAAGGAGGATATCTGTGGGAAACCAAAGAAAAAATACTATGCATTTTATTCATAGTTTTGTCACTATTTAGTTTGTGCCTTTTTGTTTAAATTTAAGGTATCCAGCTTTCAGTGCTATGTTTAGAACAAACAGAACTGGCTGATATACATTTTCCAAGTGAAGTGGCAGTTCTCATTTAGTATCTAATTTTATAAAAACTAAATTAATTCTATTTTTGTACATAGTATTTTTCCTGGCTAAGACTTGGACATGGATCAACTTGGTATGTTGCTAACTCAACTGTCTTGTACGATCAGTTTGTCTATGTTGGAAGAACTACTTGTCAAGAGGTTTCTAGTTGTATGATGTGTGCATTTCAATTAATCTGTTCAGTATTTCAGTTACATTTTGAGAAACATTGTTTGTGAATGGGTTTAGAGAAAAAAATTTGCGTGTCATTCTTTGATATGATGTTACTTACTAACAGAGGAAATAGGACTAACATGAAACTGTTTCCAACTCTTTTTGCAGAAGCACAACAAGATTTGATGGGGATTGCTCAGTTCAGGTGTATAGTGTGCAGGCTAGCATTCCAAAGGATCCAGCTGTGCTTTGGAATGCTGAATTCATTCAAGCAGAAGAGCTCTTCAAGCAGCCTTCCTCAGTTGATAATTGTTTGAGGGATAATAGGTAGGTTCCATAACTGCAGAATACGTATATAGTTTAGTCATGTGATGGTAGGTGTGCAATGTGAAAGTATTAAATTGTTTAGGGTTGACAAACAAGAAAATATTGATATTAGTTGGAATATTTTGTGTGAATTATTCTGATTCTTTATGAAAAAGAGATTTGATGCCACTCATATTGCAATGAGTGTTTTTGTTCCTTTTGCCAAGAGTTTTGGTGCTGCTCATTTCTGTATGTGTAAACTTGACATGAAGCTAGAGAATATATAGAAAAGGTTTCGGTGAAATGCTTGAATGGGAGTACTCATCAAGTTAGCATCCTTGATATTTATAAAGTATATGCATTGAAAAAATTACTTTTCGAGACCAATGAAAAAAAATTTAGGTTTTATAAAGAGAGATGGGAAGGCTTTCCATTGATTCTTTGAATGGTTCTGGTTAATAGGAAGACTTCCTGATTTCATTGTGTTATTTTCTTCTAATGTTTTGAATTTTGGCATCTATTTTACTATGAAAGGATAACTGATGGAATGCTATGATATTATGATGCATCTCCCATTCTGCCTGGGATGAGTAGTATCATGGAGCATTTGAAAAAAGGGGGGAAAAGTTGCTTTGTAAATTAGGGGAAAGGTTTTGGTTGGTTTTGTTTCAGATAAACTAGAAGTGGTTCAGACATGGTTTTCAAATTGGAGAAATTTTGGCATTAAAAGGTGTTGGTTTTTATACATTAAAAATTGATGAGTTGATTTTGCAATCTTCAATTCCTTTGCGTTGATGTGTAATAAGTTGGCCTGTTCTAAGATCTCAACCTTCTGGCAGTCCTGTTTACTGTTATAACATACTTTTATGTTACTGGAAAATTTAATTTCCCGAATTTCTTCAATGGTCGAGAATGTAATCAAAGAAAATGGTTATATCAATTTTCTTTTACTGTCAGGTTCTAGTCTACAAATCTAGAAGCATCACTATACTAGTCATGAAATGAAAAATGTGATGTTTTAATTACTGTATAGAGATTATGTTTGTGGATTTTCTTATGACCAACTAGCTTACTTCTCAGGTTCGGTGGGATCTCTAATTCTTTTGTTCAACGGAATGTGGATGCCTCAACAGTAGTTTCTGCCGCTCCACAATCAAAATCTATAGCAAGTGATGGACCTGCAAAGAGTAACATAGTTCACCAACCTCCTAAAAATATATCACGTGATTCTATTGACAAAATCAATACCAAACCACAGAATGTGGCAAAAGAAGTCAAGATTGAAAGCAATGCAATAGGGAATACTGTTGTTCATGATAACATCAACAAACCTACTGCAGACAAAGAAAAGGCCCTTCCCTTGCCCAAAGGCAAAAAGAAAGTACAAGCTGATAAAAGTGGCTCTGTGACTGGAGGTTCATTAACAAGCTTATGGGGTTGTGCATCTGCAAAACCCAAGCCTTGCTCCCCACCAGCAGAAAATAACACAATTTCAAATCCTTCTGGTTGGTTTCTTTTGCAGTTTATTTCATTTGCTTTGTTTTAGATTTTTATTTATTTCTTGGTGACTGCAAAGTAACATAACCAAAATGTCTCCAATATATTTTTTGACACTTTCTTTCAGTGTCTACTGAAGATGGGCAAACTTCTGCTCATGAAGCAGAAGAGTGTGACAGTGGTAATGATGATAATCATGACATTTCCTTGAGAAGGTCATCCAATAGGAAAAGAAGGGTTGTCTTTGATTTCTCAGATGAAGATGAAGATGTTGTCAATTTAGCATCACCTGATTTCCCAAATAAACAGTCATCTCAAGATTCTAGACAAAATGACAAAACATCATTAGAGAAAGCCAATTTGAATTTTGACGTGCAGGAAGAAAATAAATCAAAGATCAAGGAAGAGAGAACAACTGACAAAAAAGCTCACCAACCACTGAGAGATAATGTATCAGCTATCAGCAAGTGCACAAATAACGGGAAATCATCTTCTGAGAAGTTGCAGAGTTGTAATCCTGAAGTTAGTGTAAATAAGAATAGTGTAAACAATGCTGCTCCATGTTCACCTAAGAGGAGAAAAGTTATGAAGACTAGGATTGATGAACGAGGGAGAGAAGGTACTTACATTCTTAAATGCTTTTTTTATGTCACTCAGCGGCTTCTTGATTCCCATATAGCATACAAGCTAACTTTATATATGACTATTTGGAACTTCTATTTTAAACTTAAATAAACTTTTCTTCTGTATTTGCATGATTTTAGGATGATTCACATTAAAATGTTCGGTAAATCTCGTTAAAATAAAGTTCTTTTATGTTAGTATTTTTCTCTTCTTTATGTTCTTTTCTTCTTTCCAGTAACTGAAGTAGTCTGGGAGGGTGAGGAGACAGAAGTGAAGAAACCTGATAAGGTTACAACAAAGAAAGCTGACAGTAATGCACCTTCCAATGCTGTCAATAGGTTAGTCTTAATCATATCCTTCATGCATTTGAAATGAATGACTGGAAACTGCCAATACTTCAAGGGCCAAATGACACTGTTAGTTTTCCCATGAACATGAAGCATAAAGGGGTACCTCATTAGGTTTTCTGTGCAGCTTCCTAGGTATTTCTGAAGTGCTTCATGATCTTTTGACAGAAAAAATCGATTTCTTGATATTGAAATATGTTCATTTGAATTAATGCAAAAATATTGCCAGTATTTGTGGGTTGAAACGAGTGCAGTCAAGGTAATCATTTAAGGCTTATGCTTGTTTGACGTTGATCCTAATATTGAGAATTGACATTGCTATATCTTGAAGGTTTTGATTTAACTTATGGGAACAATACAAGACATGTAAATTGCTGATTGCTTTTGGCCTTAGTTTTTTATTTTACAAAATAGTTTTCAAGATCAAGGATATAAACATTTGTTTGGATTTTGGCGTCTCGCATATTTTGGAAGGTAAAAACACAACGACCGTGTAAACCAATATTCATTTCCTTGGCCTTTTCTAGGTTCGCTAAAACTGAGTAGCAAAACAATAGTTCACTAAAACCATGACAATTGGCCTGTTTGAACAGTAGCCTGTCACAAATTATTAACAAATTGCTTACAAGACCACTGTCCAATTTATGTACAAAATTGCCACCGCTCAAAACCCGAAGTAGATCGTTTTGAGAGCAAGAATCAATAAGAATTTGTTCTGATTTTTTGGTTTTGAAACAGTTTCTAAAGATGTAAACATCCTTTTAAAACAAACAATATACTAATTTACCTGGAAGATATAAGCAGTTCACTGCACATGCTTACCAAATGATTGTCCAATCTAGCCAACAATAACATTTTTTATATCTGAAGCTTGTAGACTCCCCTTGAATCTGGTTTTGTTTTCCAAACGCTAATCTGTATTTTAAGCAAAAGATTACTACTTTAGTGGGGTTTAACTTGATGATTATGACTAACTTTATTCATGCAATTCCAGTGCTCCAGCAACTAAGAAGCAACCTGCAAATTCAAATGGAAAAGGAGGAAACAAGAAAGCTGGAAACAAGGATCCCAAACAGGGCAATATTCTTTCATTTTTCAAAAGAGTTTGAGAACTTCACAAAGAATTACTATGTTCCGAAGAGACGATCCTTTTACTGGGTCATTCATCAATGCTAGTTTTTTCATGGTGAAGATATTGCATCTGTAGTTTTGCTTCTTTTAGTTTAGGGTTTCACTGTAATCCGGATACAGGATTGGTTGTGTTATGTTTCCCTCACGCACCCTACTGTTCTTGCCTGAAAAGGTATAGTTTACGTACAGGTCAATGAACAATGAATGATGTTGCGATGGGTAACTCTTTGGTCTTGCTTGCATCAAGTTCTAAACTTTGGTTATGCCTAGTTTAAGTGAAGCTCAGCGTAAAATAGTGAAAGATAATACAACTTTTGGTAGAACAAAGCTTAGACGTAGGTCATTTTATGTAAATATCTTCGTTTTCTTTTTGTGGGCTAAAAATGTGAATTAGAACACGATTTATGTTTTGCTTTTAAACATGGAACAACTGCAATAGAATTTGGAGATTAGAAGGCGAATCTTAGACTTGGTAATTGATTATACTGAACTCGCACACTTGTCTTACAATGTTTAGTGGAGCATGATTATTATCAGTCAAAATTAATTAAAAATTATAAAATTATTGTTTATAAAGAAAATAATAATTTTGAACTTAACAAATTTGTAATTATTAATAAATTTTAGCTTGGCATTTCTTTATTGGAGGACTATGATTTTAGATACCGAAATGTGGAGTTTACAATTGTAACTTTATTTTTTTGATAAATACCATTGAAAGTATCTAATGTGTAAACACAATTACGTAATCTGGGAAATAAGGTTATGACTTTTATAATTTAGTTGTAGATTGCAGATGAACGGATTACTGTTATCTAATGAATTTTGTGAAAAAATGTTTTGTATTATATGTAGATTAAAAATTATAATCGAAAATATGAGAACGAATGTGTATAATTTTAACGGGGAATAAAGACTGGTGACAGTTTAACAAAAAAAAAGAAAAAAAGACCGGTGTCAATAAGAGTGAAAAAAAAGACTTCTACAAATAATTTAAATGATTTTTTTTGTAGATTTTTGTGTGATAATATTAGACACTCACAAAAGAAATCCAGCCTAATCTTATTATTTTCCAAGAGTAAATAGTTGGTTTATAGCTGTGTCTAACTTGTGACTTTAGAGTAAATAATTTTTCTATAACTCAATTTTTTAATGCATATTTAAAACAAGGATTTCAGGAAATATAACCCAATTATTGAAACGTTGTCCAAGAAGCGTTCTTTCAACACAAATAATATGAAATTGCCGCATTGGACTACTTCACTCATCTAAGATGAAAAAATGGAAATACATAACGAAGTTTGTATTTACCAAAGAGGTCATGATTTGATCTGATACAGAACATTTTTTGTTCAATTGATTGAGGAAACAACGGTAGATTTCAAAGGAAAAAGAGTTGCTACCCTATGCAAGTTATTACCAAATCAATGAGATAACCATATACATGATTTACAATCTTTCCCCATATTTATACTCTCTGTTATTAACTGTCTCGGATCAGGTTAGTTGGCTCACTCAAAACGTACTTGGGTAGCTCATACTTTGCTCCTGCAAAACAACATAACATTCATCACAACATTGATAAATATTGCAATTAACTATTCTATTCTAGCCCCATAATAATTAACACAAGGTGCACTAGTTCAACCTTTGGTGGTTGATTTCCATGAATCAAGTTTAGTAATTCCAACAAATTCAAAGATTTTTGCTTCACAGTTCTTGACAGAGATTAATCATTGTTTCTAGTAGTAGATATTTTGTATAAATATCATGATTACTCAAAACAAAATTATTATGGTATCTCAATGCTAAGCTAGTTTTAGATATTTTGCTGCATTTCCCCTATACCTATACTATACACTTTTCAAATGAATGTTTGAACATAGTAAATAAATCTTGCTGACCCCAACAGTTTTCCAATAGAAAGGTTTGATTTTTGAGGTGATAAATTAGAATGAGAGACATCTAAAAAGAAAGGGCTTTTTTATTGAGAGAGTACATGTTTATGTGGTAGGGTAGTTGAGCTGAGAAAGGTCATGGTGGGGTTAGAGAGCTTTCTACAACAATGGTGCAATGTATTCCACCACTATCCACAATAAAGGTAGGTATCACATGATTCAACTAAGCCTGGACCACAGTTGGATAATTAAGGGGAAAAGTACTGTTGCAGGAAGCCCACATGGCAGTTCATGGCTAAAAGTTCTTTAAATGCTTTTCGTTTCAACATCCAATTTAATTTCACAAGCCCTATTATGATTTTAAAACCAAAGGAAAGTGAATCAAGTTTTCAATCGTTTGATTAAAGACTGATTCAGATTATAGAAACCAAAACACATTGTATCCTATATATAATTTTAATGTTCCTTCTTATTTTGAAAATTTTGTTTGATGTAGTAGTTAATGGAATGCAATATGAAATAATTACCTCTTTCATCATAGCATACTGTCAAATCAGAACTCTGGACAATGACCCCAGCACTATCCACAATTGCTTGTGCTAAAGATAGTTCAGCCTCGGCAGCAGCTCGAAGAGCATCCCAAATCTCTAGTGGCAAGGAGAAAAACAGATATACACTTCAATTAACTCAACTAAAACAAAATAGATGTGCAGCTAAGGCAAAAATGAAACAAAGAAGAATGATTCACAACAAAATACCTTGTAAACCTATATAATCTGAACTTTCTTTCTGGCTTAAGTGTTATATTGCTGTATTGTAGCATTTGTTAAACAGAATATCATTGATTATGTTTTTTGAGAAATTAGTTTTATGCAATTAAATGCAATGGTTAATAGCCTGTTTGCTTTTTTTTTTCTTTTTTTTTTTGCTTTCACTACAAAAGTGAAATTTGGCTTCCCAAGGCATGCAGACCCAAAAGAAATCAATCATTCCTTCTTGCCAACAGGGCATAGCAAAGCCAAATCCCACTTTTTTTTTTATAACTAAAGTCATTATGAACAAATGATCAGACATGCAAAAGAACTTAGAGCATTTTTTGCCCATTTCCTTGGGGCTAAGTGTTTATTCTACTATGATTCTTTTGAAAACCTTACTCAAACATCAAGTCAATCATCTGAGCCAGTTTGAATTTGTATACTTACATTCACATGTTTCGCATCTGTCCAGTTTTGTAAATATTAAGCAAGACAGATAAAGCCATGTTACATAAAACACATATGCACAAGTCACCAACAACCAAACAAGACTTCTAAAAGCACAACACTTTCAAATTTGTCGTAGATGTAAACTTGTTTCCAAAATAAACTACACTCTTTACATGTAGATTGTCATCATTACCAGATTCTATACACACTGTGAAACCTAAGCCTACAGCCATATGAAGAATCAGAGTGCAACTTAGAAAGAAAAAAATCTGTACCCAAGGCATCATATTTAATAATGTAAGAATAGATAAAACCTTTTGCTTGTGATTTGCAATGAGATAGCAGGGATACAAGAAGTTCAACAGTGAAAGTCATTCCTAAAATGATCATTATCTGACCTCTCTCTCTCTCTCCCCATATATTGCCAAGAGAATAATGATGCTCGAAAAAGGAAAAAAAAAAAAAAAAAAAAAAA